TTTCCACCGAGCAATTCTTACGATTTATCCTGAATGGATACTATTTCCGACTTCCCCTAGGAGATCTGCTGACTTGTCACAAAAGTGTATTCCAACTTTGTCAAAAAGTTTCTTCTGACTTGGGATGTTTATCTCTCTTTCACATTTCATGGATTTTTCTGGAGATTCTGTCAGCTTCCCCAGAAATTTTTATTTGAAGCAAATTTATTTGAAGCAACAAATTATATATCTCAAATGGTTGTCGTTTTAAACTGGTTTTACAATTGTATCTTAAGGTGACCCTTAAAAACATTTTTTTACATTAACTTTTAGCACTTTTGATAGCACATGGTTCTGCTAAAGTAGCAAGGTTGCTCTTTCTGGAAAGCTATAATTGATTATTGTTTGAAAATTTTCTATTCTCAAATGATACTAGCTAAGTGGATGCTATTATTTCGTGATCGTGAGTTTATTCCTATATAGTTTAAAATTTAAAAGAGCCTTTTTTTAAAATCATTTTACTAACTTTTAAAAAGGGTGTATTTTTTTTTTCTTGAAAATCAACACTATATTTTCTACCAAAAGAGGTTGCAACATTGTTGCTCAGTAGTAAGCGTGATTACTACACCGGCGCAGTAGTAAGCGTGATTACCTCTCACCCCAGCAGGCCTGGGTTCAATCCCAGTTGGCGCCGCCGGAATGTTCTGAGGCATAACATTTTTGATCACGCCGTTGTTCATGAGTTGATGGGTCGATAGGTAGGGTCCAGGTGTAGGAGCTACCTCTCTGGCGTCGGTAGCATTGGTGCTCAGCACGGAAAACAAGATAGAAAAAACATTGTTGTTTGAGCAAAAATGTGCATCATTAAAAGTTATAAAAAATTCTTGAATATGTCATTTGAGATAAATCAAAGTATAAAAAGTTTATTTTAAAATCCATGGTCACTTTAACTTATTTATAAAAACTGATTTTATCTTAAAAACAATATTAATCAATTTACTATGATTTTTCAAATATTTACATGGGAATCGCACTTCCTAACTTCAACTGCCATTTTCACAATGCCTACTTTTTACATATGAGACTGATATGGGATTATAGGCATTATAGCACCATAAGAGATGGACAATTTGTATATTCAGTAAAGTTGCTTCAAATAAATTATTCAACAACTTTCTATCGATCTATCTTAAATAACCAAAAAGTTGATATGTTGTACACAACAACCATAGAAACCTCCCTCATTTCACTTATAACAAAAGTTGGCCAGTAAATATATAAAAAAAAAACTTTCCCAAAAACACCATTAATCTAAAACCAGTGATGGAAAAGTTCGCGAAAATTCACTATGACTCGCGAACGAACTTTTCCCTTGGTGAACTTCGTGAAATATCGCGAACTTTTCCAACACTGTCTAAAACTAATTAGGAGTTCCACGCCAAATGACGAATCGGAAAAACTCGACCTTCCCGGATTTTCATGAAAATTTGCCTAATTGAGTGATATGGGTAATCAATGATTAACTAATCATTAACTTTTTTACAACAATTCGGCCATTTTGGATGTTTTTTTTTCAAAATGGAAAACATTACTTCTGATCGAAATGACGTCTGAGACAAAGTTGTAGAAAAAATAAAGCATTTCTAGGAAAAATATGGAATCTTTTAAAATAAATTTTGAGTCAAAATTCCAAAAAAGTTTTAAGAACTCAAATATTAAAATATATATATATATATATATCTTAAATCTTTATTTAAAAAAAATCTCATACATTATGGAAAGTTTTGGAATTCCGAATACCATGGCACTTGAAATTTGACAAAAATCGTTGAACAAGTACTTTTGGTCAAAGATTTGAGATTTTTGCTATTACTCTTTTTTATGTAATTTCTACACAGGAAACAATCCCAGGCCGGATTTTCTGAGGTATAAAATCTTTGATCACGCCAGGCAGTACCCAACAAACAATTGCCTATTGTAGAAACGACTCCTTGACGATTTTATTCAACTGCATGCTTAATAATACTTGTACTATTTTAAATAATAACTTCTGTTCAGACTTTGTTCACACAAATCTGGAGAATTTATTCAACCACAACATCGAAATATTTGGTGTTGAGAATAAGGTATGTCGAGAAGCTTTTATTCGACTTACAAGAGTTGAAACATAGCTTATTCGATCAAATTTTTGATTATTCAGCGTTTATTAGACATCATTACTTCCTTAAACAGTGATGGTATAAAGGTGTATATAGACGCTTGATTCTCATGTGAAATAATGTTTAATTAGACACTATTATACATTTATTAAATGATTATTCAACTACGGGATAATTAATCCGAAAATAAGAACGGGACAGATCAGGTTTGTTCTCGTTGGTGATTGTTGTGTCATTATTTCTGTCGGAGCACGCACCCACCACACAGATACTAGAAAATTTATTACATACATACATACATACACACATGTCATTAGATGAGATTCGAACCATGACCTTCCGATCACCAGCCGCTTGCCTTGCCATCTGAGCTATCCTAGAATACATAATATGGACAGCTAAATAAGCAATAAAAGCTTGAATCTGAATACCTATCAGCACTCCCAGCCGTAACTCTAGCTAGTTCAAGGAGATGTGAGAATGATTAACTCATTCATAGTTGTTTTACATGAGACCAATGTTACCTCTCCATCTCTCTAATTTCGATGGAAAGGATGCTTGGTTATTTTTTTTTCGATAGATCGATGAATTGGTTGTCGTAAGTTATACGATCTATGATTACGATTTAAATTAATTAAGCGTAGAAAATAAATAAAAAAAAAGAGTTGAGGTTGGGATTGAACTCACAACCTTCAACTTGAAAAGCGGAAACGGTAACCACTATGCTACCAATTGTTGTTAGCCTAAAACAGTGTTGTGGAATAATGAATGAATACGCCGTTTGTAAAGCATTAGCATTAGCATGCAATTAAAACATGGACGCATATTGGTATAAGAGCTGTAATGCTGACTGTATTCACCTTTATTCAGCAATATTATTAAGCAATGCGAATGAATCTAATAATAGAGCTAGAAAACAATTATTAGACGTATAATAAAGCATGTTATTAAATCAATTTAAAACAGCCGAATTAAGGGGAGGTTTACTTGGATTTGGCTGAAAAATAGTTGAACTTTGGAAATTTTTTTCAGGAGAATGAAAAGACATACGAACTTCCGGTTTCGATAATTATATTTGTCCACTATTCCTGAATACTTGGAAATTTTTTGAAGGTAAAAAAAAACAAAATGGTGGCTCAAAATGGCAGCTCGCGTGGAGGAGTGTCAGTCAGGTTTTGCTGCAGAACTTCGAGTGCACACCCTCTGGTGGTTAACTGAAATGAAATTTTTTTATTGTGGTTAAAGTTGATAATATTCCCTATGGCTTATACCTAACTAGAACGAAATCCGACAAAAATTGACCAAATTATGGACATTTGAAAATTTAGTGCTTTTTTTACCCCTTTTTTTCTCACTTTGACCTTGCTTAAAAAATAGTAACTAACAATAGGTATAAGCCATACAAAAAATAGTATCCTTCAAAGCGCAATTTTCCGATTGGAAATCGGATCATTTGTTCAAGCCCTATGCTCTAAGTTGTTATAAAAAATATGGTTTCGAGAAAAACGCGTTTAAAGTTTTTGTTGCGTCCCTCAGCGCGCATGACAAAGGTTCACTCAAAGCGCCATAACTCGCTAAATATGTTTCGGATCGTAAAATCCTTTTGGCCACATATTCTACACACTTGTAGCTTTTTAAATCCAAGTAAACCTCCCCTTAAAGCGTCAATGTATGTGCAAATTACATTTATTCAGTTTGTTATTATATCAAACTTCTGTTGTTGAATCAGGAAGACAGTCATCGTTTGTATAGCTTTTAATAAGTATATTAATCAAATTAGAGCAATCAGCGGAATAAAGGCGCCTCTATCGATCTCAATGAGGTTTTTTCAGCACATAATTTGACGACCCGTGTTATTCAGCATTGTACACTGTTATAAAGCATTTATTCCATATATATGCTTATTTGTGACTCTGAATTGTTTGTTGGGTAAAGCCGTTGGTCCCCGGTCCATGAGTTCATGGGTCGATAGGTAGCGTCCAGGTGTGGGAACGGCGCAAACGTTTTTGTCTTCCTAAATATGGTTCTGGGACCATTGTGCATTGTCCTTCGAGTTAAATTGAACCCGGTATTGGGACACAGCTTTATCATATGCTACGGCATCTGCTCTAGGTCCAGGAAAGTCAAGGAAATTCACATACCCGTCGAACCCGTCCGCTCTGGAATTTTAGGTGTGCCGCATTTTTTCCTTGATTTGTTTTTCCGTCGATCTTGTTTTCCGTGCTGAGCACCAATGCTACTGACGCCAGGGAGGCAGCTCCCACACCTGGACCCTCCCTACCTATCGACCTATCAACTCATGAACCGTGGACCAACCGCTTTACTTCCCTTCCGAAGGAAGGCGTGATCAGAGATGTTATGCCTCAGAACATCCCGGCGGCGCTGACTGGGGTTGAACCCAGGCCTGCTGGGGTGAGAAGTAATCACGCTTACCACTACACCACCGGCACCGCTTACTGAATAGATTATCGACAGGCCCCATGAACAGGTCGTAGTGTGTTATTATGAACTCAATAAAAAAAACTTGACCCTCTCGCTTATGTTTGAAAACTGAAATTAATTACTCAAGACATATATGTACATTATACCCAACCGAGGAATGTTTATATGATAAATGTATCGAATTTCTAAGGGATCATTGCTTTAAAAGGTCTTGTAATGGGGTCGTTGGAAATACTTGGAAAAAGCTGCTTGTTCGCTACAGGCAGTTGTAAGAACTTCCATTACAGTTCTTGCAAGGAATATCTAAAGTGGGTGTAAGAAATTCTTGCTTAAATTTTTTTTGCATACGCCGTTTTACGTGTATTGATCAATTTTCTAAATAATAAGGCAATTCATATTTTCATAATCCTTTCATTATAGACCTCCAAAAATGAACATAGCTGAGAGATTGAAGCAATGGGAAGGCAAGGTTGCTGTCGTTACGGGAGCCAGCGGTGCCATCGGTGGAGCTATCGCCAAAGAGCTGGTCAAAGCAGGAATGATCGTGTGTGCCTTGGCCCGAAGGCGAGACAAAGTGGAAAAACTGCGAGCCAGTTTGTTTGATGTGGCCGGAAATCTCAACTGTGTAGAATGTGATATCACAATAGAAGAAGATGTCAAGCATGCCTTCGGATGGATTGAAGGTGCATATGGTGGCGTCGATTTGCTAGTGAATAATGCCGGGGTGGTCACTAGGTGCCTGTTGACTGAGAAAAACAACACCAAAGATCTGTACACCACCATGGAAACTAACATCATCGGTCTATGCTTGTGCACCCGAGAAGCAGTCAAATCGATGAAAGCACGAGATGTGCACGGCCACATAATCAACATAAACAGCATATTTGGACATAAAGTGCATCAGACGGTGCCTGGAACTAGACCACTGAATGGAATGTATCCAGCTTCCAAGTTTGCTGTCACCGCAATCACCGAGTGTATTCGCCAAGAGCTAATCTATCTTGATGCTCATGTTAAAGTATCTGTAAGTGAATCTAACAGAAAACTCTCGTGTCAGTAAGAATTAGTCTAATTCAATACTAATGATCAATTTCAGAGCATCAGTCCGGGACTGGTGGAAGGAGACATCGTTGCCAATCATACTGCTGGCGATAATGACCTCGTAAAATACATGCCAAAACTGAAACCAGAGGATGTGGCTGATGCTGTAATTTACGCCATAACAACACCAGATAATGTTCAAGTTAGTATCTACATATAAATAACCATTACCATTTATACAAAATTGATTGATTTGTTTATTAACTCTCACAGATCCACGAACTTGTCATCAAGCCGATCGGGGAATTTATATAAATGTATCACTCTTTCAGTACAACACCACATGTCGGTTTATGACAAAATGAACATTCAGATCATCCTTAAAATGTAAGCAACATCCAATGAAGAAAAAACAAAAGTATGCTATCGGGTGCCATTTTATTTAATTTACATTTTACTTGTACACAGCAATAAACGAAAAAAAAACCACTTCACTAAAAGATAACTTCCCGCTGAGAAGGTGTTGAAAGAAATCTATATAACCACGCGGCAAACAATCATTTCAACTTAATAAAGACGGAAATTGAAGCCGACATCTCTTGGCAGGGGGTAACCTTGATTAGGTTGGTTCTTTAATGTTTTCTGTTTTTTTTTTTTGTGTTTTAACGAGTCAAAAGGGACAGATATATCCTAGGTGAACATTTGAGATCCAATCATCTCACGGCAGGTTTTAATGCTAAGTGTGTCTCGTGGGTTTACCGTTTCTCTCCGTTGAGAGGCGTGTTGTTTTATTTTCTAACATTTGAGAGAACCAGTTTTTTTTTCAGCATTCTTCGGTGGTCAAATTTGCAACAATATATCATTTCTGTACGTGGTTTATAATTGAAAAGTCTCTTGAATCAAATGGAAAGCTGTTTATCTTCTAGGGAATTAAATTCTGACAAATCTATTTTAGTTTTATTGAGCACTCAATGATTATACGTGGATACATACATAGTGAACAGAAAGTGTAGAGCAGGAGTAAATTTTAAATCATCATATCGAGTAGCATAGGCGTAGATTGTAACAAAATATGTCTTTCTTTATAAAATAATTAAAGAAATGCGCCATTGAACACGCCTTAAATACGTTTATTCACCACATTCCTATTTTCCTCATCATTTCCTAACCTCTATCCATCTCCTTTTCTTTCCGAACGTAATTCCACTGCTGCTACTTTCACCGTTTTCCTCCGTCAGTGTGGCACTTGAAAACCGCTTCCAACTGTCTGAACTTTTCTCGTCCGTCGATGCTTTTCTTCTTGGCTAGCACGCATGATACGGGGTATCGGCTCTGTTCCTCCGACGATGTGCCCAACTTCCAGCAGCTGGTGGATTACCTCCAGCCGATTTCATCTGCATCCGTCACGAAAACAGTAGACCGTCCACTCAAAGCGTCGGACGGCGCGGCCCGACGGCTCGCCAGTTCGAAAACACTAGTGAACTTTTTACCAAATGCCAGCGCTCTGTGGTCCAAAATGGCAAGAAGTGGAACTTTATTCCTAGAGCTTGACCCTATGGGAATCCCACTCTAAACTTTGTATTTCTATCGACATACCTACACCGTGTCCAATATATTCTCATACAAATTCAAACATCGATTATTTCACATCAGTTATGGCTCTAAACTGAACCAAAGTGGACACCTTGTGTTCGTTTATTTTTGACAGCATTTATGACCACACAAAATAATCCAAGGGGTTTAGATCTGGTGAACTGGGAGGCCATTCATCCTTGGCCAAAAAAGTCGATAAAAACAAGCGGTAGCTTGCCGCGCTTGCAAATACCTCCCCATACCATCACGGAAGCGGCGCTTTGGAACCGTGGAATGTTTCTGTCCCTATCTGGGATGTCGCTGGACCCACACGCCCACAACCTGTCGTTTAAGAAATTGTGAGAATGCTGCAGGACAAATAACTTTTCATCGGAAAAGACAAAGTCTCGTCCAGCGTGCCGCGATAGTAGGAGAGTTACTCTTTCAAGCCGTTTCTTCTTGGAAGGTTCCGAAACTCCGTGAACTTTACGTTTCTTGAAAGCTTGGCATCCCAGGTCCTGCTTGAGTACATTGTGCATGGTCGATTTCGAGACATTGAGATCAGTGGCCATTTTACGTACAGAGCGTTGTGATTTTCGTCGAACTCGTTCCCTGACGGTCTTAATCACTCGTTCAGTCCTAGTTCCAGTTCCTAGTATGAACTGTAAGTTCACCACTACGACAAGATGAAAAGGTGTATGAGAATATATTGGACACGGTGTATAGATACCTGGGAATATTTATAAATACTTATATCTAGCGATAGTTTGTTTACTCGGTTGCTATAGTCTATAGACACATTTCATTTGTTGGTTTATCTGACGTGTGGATTCAAATCTAATCTGATTTTCGATATTAACATTTATTATATTAACAGCATTAACTGGAGGCCACTGACCAGCGATACTCATTTATCCAGTCTCTGGAGGAAACCATACTAATGGCCATTGAAACCATTCGACTATTGCTCGCTTAAATGTATTGTTCACATTCAGGTCTGAAAATGACTAGATGTTAAGTTTGGGCACACAATTCAAAATCAATGTCACACTAGCGCTGCCTGGTGAGTGAGTTTTGAACTAAAATCTTCACGTCAGGATAGGTACTATCTATCTGAACAACTTTTCTCAAGACGGAAACCATTCATATGAGCGGGATCTGTAAATAGCATTATAGGGGAAATGTCTCTAATGTTGGCCTATGGATCTAAGATTGGGCCCATCGCTAAAATTTTGCTATTTATCAATTTTATCTAGATGAACGCGTCACTAATGGATATTTTTGGTTGCTATTGAAAATTTAGTCGATTGCAGAATTTATGTATGGACCCAAATTAGGGACACTTAGGCCGACATTACCTGCATTTCCCCTGTAATGTGTATTTAAGAAGGAGCAACTTGATCATTTTCGTTTAAATTTTGTCATAAACTATTCGTAGATTTGAATATCTTGTATTTCAGAGCATCTTTGCAGAAGAAAGTAACATTCTATATATTTGGGACTTCGTGATTGGAACACCAGATGGACGCCTGGACAAATCTTTATACGGGCCTAGACAGGCGTTGAAATCATGGAACGACAGATTTGACAACTTTATAGTGAAACGAGTGGGATTTACAAGAGCGCGAACGACCAGTGTTTGTACTCGAAGAGGATCGGTAAGGACACGGTGTTCCTGGTAATTCATGTTGACGACGTGATTATCGCTACATCAACCCTGGGAACAATCGGAACTGTGAAGCGATGTCTGGTAACGGGGTTCTTAATGACTGACGGAGGAGAGATACGGTGCTTTCTTGGAATGCGCATTGATGTGGATGGAAAAGTTATGAAAATCAGCCAGAAGCAGTTTTTGGAAGATCTGTCCCTACGCCAATGGAAGTGCGGCTCAAGTTGGAGAAGGAAACAGAAGATAAGCTAACGAGGCAGCTTGATTCAGACGTCGTTGACAACTAGGTCAGATGGGGCGGCAGCCGTCAACTATTTTAGTCAGTACCAAAGTTGCCCAACTGATGAACACCTCAAAAGGATCTTACAGTACCTAAAGTGTACACAGCAAAAATTCTGAATTTCAATTGTGATGTACACACTCATTCACGTAAACTTCTATTTTATTTCACGCAAACGAGCAACTAGTAAGGCTCTGAACCATTTGGTGGATTATTTTAACTTTTGGTTAAAATTTGACACATGGAAAGTTATCGATTAACTCTGCTATCCGAGCGTGGTTACTTCTGACAGACAAGAAGTTAAATTTTGACAACTGTGGCTGAGTTCTTCTTGGAAACCGGTCGATCGACCGCACAGGGATTTTCGAACATAGAAAATAACTTTCGAAACGTTACTTTTAACCACGAGTTAAATTAGACTCGGCAAATGGTTCACAGCGTAAATAATGTTATTTACAATGATGGGCTGATGTATACAATATTGCATCATTTCATGATATGTCTCAGATCTCTACACGATTTATAATGTAAACTTACATGATATGTGAATCATATTGAACAGAAATTTACACTACTTACTCTCGACTTGTGGCTGGTCTATCAAACGGATGAAGCTGCAGCGGTTCTTGAAGTGTTTTCAGACTCAGATTGGACGAATAACAATTCGGACCGCAGATTGATTAGTGGCTGTATCTTCAAGGTGCATGGTGCATCATTGACTGAATTACGCGATAGCAGAAAACAGTGACACTGCCGTCTACCGATGCAAAACGGAATGTTTTATGTAATGCCGCGTGTCATCAAATATGGATGATTCGTCTTCTAAAGGACCTTGGGAGCGATTCAGTGGAGCCAGCCACTTTCTACGAGGATGATCAGTTCACTATAAGGATTGCTGAAAATTCGAAGGACTTCGGGCGCTTGAAGCAAGTGGACGTGAAGCACCATTTCCACAAGGACCTTGTACGAGAAGAACGGATTCAGCTTGAATATCTTCGCTCACAGGACCAACCAGCAGATATCACGACGAAGAGTTTGTCAATTGGTGCTTTCCGGCGTCATGGTATCAGCATCGACCTGATAGGTATCAATGGTTGAAGGAGGGTGTTAAGAGTACAACATTGCTACCTATTAACCCTAATATATACAGACACCACTGTAATGCGGAACTATCAACTGATTTGTCAAATTCAATTCATCACTCTAGTAATTGTTCCCTCTACCACTGTCTGTTGCTAGATGTTTACTTAGATAGAACCGTTTCCGCATATCGGAGGTACATGAGAAAATCGGCGATAATTCCTTTTGCCAGTGTTGGCTAGGGGGAAACACCGTTTGTTTAGTTTTAATGAAGCAACTACTTTGGTCCCCCTCCTTCTTGTAGCGTATTTTTCTACATGGCTGGTCACCCTGAAACGCTGCGTCATTTATGCATCTTCTCTTACGGCTATTTCTGACATTTTTTTCTTTATGTAATGTGCCTAAAAAGGTGCATACTAATATTCGTTAGTATTCGTTAGTAGGAGGATTACTCAAGGTTTTTTTTTTTTTTTTTCACTGTCTCAGAATTGTGAACTGCATAACCATGAAATTTCTACTATCGAGCGCTTTTTAGCTGTATTGGTACGAATTCTTGAAAATTATGTATTTCTTGGCGGTGGGTTCGATTCCCGGTCCAGTCGAAGGAATCTTTCGGGTTGGAAATTTTCTCGATTTCCCTGGGCATAGAGCATTGTGCTTGCCACACAATATACAAATTCATGCAGTGGTATTGCCATCGAACGCTCTCAATTAATAACTGTGGAAATACATTTAGAATACTATGTTGAGAGTACGTAATAAGCAATATGCGCTAAGCAATAAGCATGAAATGCGAATAAGAAGAAGAAGAAGGATCTTGAAAAATAGTTACTGTCCGGCATCTTTGGAAAAAAGCTCATAATCTGAAAAGTTTTTTTACTTCTTTTGAGTAGGGTGTCTATGAATTTCCATATGACATAATTGGAACACACCATAATAGAAACGTATAGCTGTAACTGCTACACCTAC